TCTCACCAACCGACGAATCTCAGCCGACGAGACACCTGCAGCACCGGAGCCTCCATCACCCAAACCAACGGAGGCAACCAGCGTAGTAGCATACGCCGGACCAGAAGAAGGGCGCCCAGATGGGTTGCGAGAGCCACCACCCATACCACCAGGCCGCCCACGACCACGACCCCTCTGAGCAAGAATCGGGCATTCTCCGATAACATGTCCCGTTGCCTTACAGTAATTGCATGAAGTGCGTTTGGGGCACCGAACCTGGATATGACCAGGTTCTTGGCAATGGTAGCAAATGATCGCACCGGACGGCGTACGACCAAATTGTGGACGGCCAGAATGAAAAGCAAAGATAGAACCCGATTCCGATGAGTGTACATCAAGTTTCGCCTGACTGCGAAGGCGGGTTTCCTCACAAATGAGCTCCGGTAAGACTTCTTCAATTTGGGTCACATTACGGTGAAGCAGCGAGGCTCGAATGCCCTCGAACGCAGGATTGAGGCGCATAAGAAAAGTCATCAGTCGAGCGCTAGCGTGCTCCTTCAAGACTTCCACCGAAGCTTCCGCAGATAGCAAGGAGGACGTGAGCATATCATGCTCCGACCACAAGTTAAGGGCTTCCTGATAATACGAGCGGACGTCTAAATCACCTTGCTGCAGTGCGGCTAGGGCGATCTCAATCTCGAACTTCCGAGAAGCATCCACCTGTGCATGAATCTTATGAAGGTGCTGCCACATACTGTGCGCAGACTGAAAGCTCCGCAAACTCAGTGCAATACCCGGATCAACAGAACTGAGCAGTGAAGAGGTAACTTGGGCATTAGCAATAGCCCAATCAGATTAAGCCTTAGCCGACGCAGACGCATCCGGCGCCGGTAGAGACCCGTCGAGAATGGGAAGTAAACCCTTCCCTTGCACGAACACACGAAATTGAAGCTCCCACAAGGGGAAGTTCTTGCCGTTAAAGCGAACGGAAACTGAATCTACCTTCGAACCCTCCATAATGATGAGTCACCAACCAAGATACAGAAAAGACCAACTAGAGAGATGCTGCTCTCCCCCCAACAACCGAGAATCAACCCCCCAACAACCGAGAATCAAAGGTCAATAACAGAAAAGCTAGAGAAGCTGCGTAACCCCAACAACCAAGAACTCACAGCCAAGACGAACGAGAGATACCCACCGAAAGGAAAAAAACCACCGTAGCCAAGAATCACAACACAGCCGCACACTAAACCCTCGGCGCAGCAATACACACGTAGCCAGCAAGAACCACAAAGAAACGCAGCACACCAAAGCAGTCGACGGCAGTACTCAGAGAGGCTCTGATACCATGTCAATCTACACGAAATCGATAATCTAATCAAGCATAGAACACGAGATTTACGTGGTTTCTTCAACGTTGATCGTTGAGACTAGTCCACGGCACAAGGCGTTAGGTTATCTTATTCAGCAGAGAGTTCAAGATAACTACAATTAGTCTCTATAGGACTATATATATGTGCGGCTAACCCTACTACCCGAACCTCAAGGCAGCCAAAATATGTACAGGGAAAATTACAGAACAACCCCAGAATTTATAATCTCTAACACAGATCGCCCTTTCTCTCTTTGGTTCGTCCCTTGGGTGTTTGGGATCCAAAACCCAGCTCTCCTCCTCCTTTGGCTCGAATTTGGGCTAAAAAACCCTATTCTGGGCAAAACACGATCGAGGGCACGGCCGTGCTTTGGTTTTGCCCGCCCTTGCTTTGCCCCGTGTTAAAAACACGCCCGCGCGCGTCGGCCAAAACATGGTCGTGCCTAAATATGGGCAAGACCGTGTTTTAATTTAGGCGCGCCCGTATTTTTACTACCGAACCTGTTCCCCTATATTCAATGCTTCGTTTCTCCCTCGTTCGGACTCCGAATCAGTCGCCGTTTGATCCCAGACGCTCGTAGTCTTGTCCTCTTTATTTTAATGACAAGCTTGCATGATTCTTTGTCCATAAAGTGAGGTAGAAATCCATTCTTCTTCAGGTCACGCCCGAGTTTCTTCTCCCTAATCCCCAATTGATCTCTGATTGACTTGAAACTTGCGCCTATGCTTCACTTTATGTGATAGGACCTGAAATGTGACAAAGGAACACAACCTAGCGTAAAATAGGCCAAAGACGCGATAATTAAACCTCAAACGATCAAGAAACAAAGGGGAAAACATGTGCAAATATCGAGTCATCAATTGATGACTTCCTCCAGTTCCATGATGATACTCCTGCCTCCAGCTCGAGTCTTGGAAATCCTGGTGGGGATGATCTTCGTATAATACACTCCCACCGTGGATACCAGATGTTTGGCCATCTCTAGAACCTACACTGCCTTTGACGGCCTCAGTGTAAACGAACATCTCCGCTTGCTTAATTTTATTGGTGGTCGAAAATTGGACCATGGCATCAACGTCCTTCTGAGTGGTAAGGAGGAATTCCTCAGTCCACATTGACCCGTCATGTCTGTTTGGATATCGATACACCATTTGATCAACTCTTCTAGTGCCATCCATGCAGGTAATCTGAGTGCGCATTTGATGGAGCTCTTCAAGCATCGGTCTCGTACGGACCTTCATTTTATAAAAAATTGCCACCGACGTAACTTACACCCTTTTCTGTCTCTTCCGTGTAACCATTCCACCGCAACCCAAGCGTGAACCTTTGGAATGCTATCTGCAATGAAAAGTAATACAAGTTACTAACATAAAATCACAAAGGACAATGAAAAGTAATTAAGTTACTAACATAAAATCACAAAGGACAATGAAAAGTAATTAAGTTACTAACATAAAATCACAAAGGACAATGAAAAGTAATACAAAACAAACTTACGAATTAACGTTAATCACAAAAACTAAATAATTTAAAGGTGCAAAACTGAATTTTGAAGAAGGAAGAGGAGGAGTGTGAAGAATTTGAGTTCTCTGAAACAGCCTTTTATAGGCAAATTCTGCATGCCGACATGTCCGACATGTTTGCTGTCAGGTGACCAGGCACAAACCGCGCCTTGGGGCAGCGGTTTATGTCTGGACATTGTAAACCGCCGCCTGGTGTGGCGGTTTATCATGCCGACATTTAAACGCTCCCTCTTGAAGCATTTTGGTGGTAGGGTTAGTATATAACCGCGCCTTCCAGAAGCGGTTTTTGCTGGAAATTAACAATGCCTCTTGGCAAGGCGGTTATATTGTAAACCGCTGCCAGGAGGCGCGATTTCAAAGATAACGGCTCATTAGAGGCGCGGTTTTAAATAAACGATGGTATTTTTGGAAATTGTTGGGAATGGGTCGTATTTTTGTAATTTTTTTTAAAATAGTGGTAGTTTTGGATTTTTTCTGCCATTTACTACATCAACCCAAGAGACAACCTCAAGGTCAATTATGGGAGCAACCATAAATTCATCATCAGTAATTCCAAGACACAGTTTACTACAGAAGAATGGAGCCTAATCATAGATCTAGCCAAAAACAACAGTTGTGTGAATTATTGCAACTACACGAAGATCATATCTACATTGATTGTGCAGCTGACATGACCACCACTACCACTAGCATCAATAATGGAGAAGAATAAAAAGAAAGAAGACAAGGATGACTTACCTTTAAGACAAAATAAAAAAGATGATAGCTATACCGCACTAAGCCTTGTCTAGTTGTCTTTGCAAAACTTTCTCTGCAAATGTAGACTTGTATTGTAAAGCTAGTTTGTTTGTTTTCTCACTTGTTGGAAAGTGTTGTAAGCCCTTATGTATAAATAGGTGATGAACCTGCTATAAATATGTACGTGAAGACCTCATAAGGAGGTAGAGAATAAAAGTTTCAGTTGAGAATTTTCTCTCAAAGCCAAGACTCTGTCTTGAGATGCCTAGGCACTGAGTGTTTGAGGTAATATTCTGAAGACATTCTTATCCCCCATCAAAAACACCACACAACAAAAATCATCGAACCTACAAAAATTCCCAAACACAACTCCAGCGATCATCACCAGCACTCTTCACTCAGCATCACCATGAAGATGTTAAACAACAAGGAATCAAACCATTCAAACTAAACAAGAACCAGGTATGTCTGATAACCCTAGTACTAGTAAAATTTATTTTGATTATTTAAACAAGAATGAAGAAGAAAACTAACTTAGATGGTCGTAGATATTGAGAAAATCAAGGAGCAAACTAATTTTACCTTATAAAAAACTCAAAACTTTATCACAAAGTCATTTTTATCTAAACTCTTTGATAGAAAAAATATAATTAAATATGGAAAGATGTTAGGAGAGACAGCAATACCTATAGAACAAACCAAATAATAAACAAAGAACAAATTAGGAAAAAGTTATGTAGCTTATATTCATATTAGCACGATACAAATTATCTTTAAATCAACAATAAAGACATGAATAAGTGCTTCCATAGAACTAGAAATAAGAGATGACAGACTCGTTAATGATGAAGAAAGTATAATAGCAAAAGGAAAAGGGAATTTAGGAGCAGGAATAATTAAATTTGATATTAATTTACAACAATGTTTAAGTCTAACGGACGGAAATCTTGATTCTTCAATTATTATGAAATATGAATTAAAAAGAGAAAATTTTATGAGAGATAATAGCAAACCTTTTTCAGTAACATACCAAATAAACTAAGCCTTAATCAATAGTCATCATAGTCTAACATTCAAAGATAAAGAAGCTATTACCATAGAAGATTTATTTAAACCACTAATACATTTACAATCCCCTCTGAAAATAACTAAATCAAACTATAATAATTCAAAAATTAGCCTAGATGGACGAAACCCCTCTAGAAGAATAACAAACAAGTTAAAAGAAGAGGAACAAGAAGAAAAAAAAGGTAAAAAAAATATTACCATAATTTATCAAAATAACAACAATAGTGAAATAAAGAAGCTACAAGAATTAATTCTAGAATTAAAAGATAAGATATAAATACTTCATTTTGGGATTGTCCGGCACAAGAAGAGGAGGCTTATGGCTCGTTTGCAAGGGACAGAATCTCGGCTGGCAGACTGCTTCTCGGCTGGTCTCGCTAAGCTTCATTCCAAACTGGAAGCGGAGCTAGACAAAGTCCTGGAGCAGGAAGAGCTTATCTGGTTTCAACGGGCGCGCGAGAAATGGGTGCAGTTTGGTGAGAAGAACACATCCTACTTCCATCAACAAGCGAATATCCGGCGAAGACGCAACAAAATCGAAGCCCTCCGTGATGACAACGATAATTGGGTGACTGATCCCCATACCCTGGCTAGTTTGGTCTTCAATTTTTTTGCTAATCTCTGTATGCAGGATACGAGCTCCTACGAGGACAGGCTGCCCAAGAACTCCTTCCCCCACATCAGCCAGGAGGATATGCTTACGCTCCTTCGTCCTTTCACCATCTCGGATGTCCACAAAGCTATCTTCGACATGAAGCCCTTTCAAGCTCCCGGACCCGACGGCTACCAGGCCGTTTTCTATCAGGAACTTTGGAAATTTGTAGGGAAAAGTCTCACTGACATGGTAATAAAGTTTTTTGAGACAGGTTCTCTCCCTGAAAAGGTGTCGGAGTCCACTTTAGTGCTCATTCCCAAGGTGGAGAAGCCAGAGATGGTGTCCCAGCTTAGACCCATCTCTCTCAACAACGTCAGCCTGAAGACTATCACCAAAGCTTTAACGAGCAGATTGAAACCCCTGATGAGGAAGCTGGTGTCACCTCGCCAGAATAGCTTTATCCCGGGGAGACAAACGACGGACAATGTCATCGTGGTGCAGGAAGTCCTCCATTCTTTGCATAAGAGACGGGGGAAGAAGGGTGGGTTAGTTCTCAAGATTGATCTGGAGAAAGCTTATGACAGGTTGCGATGGGACTTTCTTCGGGATACTCTGAAAGAAGTGGGCCTCCCCAGCACCTGGATTAGCGGAATTATGCACTGTGTCGAGCAGAACCGGATGCGCATCTTGTGGAATGGCCAGCTCTCGCAGCCAATTGCCCCAACTCGGGGAGTCCGCCAGGGAGACCCTCTATCACCCTACCTTTTTGTTCTCTGCATGGAACGTCTCTCTCACCTGATTGATGAGTTGGTTGCAAACGGTCATTGGAAAGCTATTAGACTGTCAAGCAACGATCCTCCTCTCACTCACCTCTTTTTTGCAGATGATCTTCTCCTTTTTGCAGAGGCAGAGACGAGGCAGGTCCGAGTTATTAAGCGCTGCTTGGATGACTTTTGTGCTAGCTCGGGGCAGATAGTGAATTACCAGAAGTCCATCCTGTATGTCTCCCCCAACATTGGTCAACCAAAAGCGAACCGTCTGAGCCAGCTAGCGGGCATCCCTCTGAAGGCCAACCTGGGGAAGTACTTGGGTATCCCTGCGATCCATGGGCGTGTTACTAAAGATAGATACCATTCTCTCCTCCTTCGCATCCAGAAGAAACTGGCGCCTTGGAAAGCTAAGCGCTTGTCTTTCGCGGCCCGGTTGAATGTGGCTAAGTCGGTTTCTGCTTCTATTCCTGTTTATAATATGAATACTGAGCTAATCCCGATTGGTGTGTACAATAGTATTGATAAAGTGAACAGGGATTTTGTTTGGGGCGATGAGGAGAACAAGTCCAAGCTCCACTTGGTAGCCTGGGATAAGATGACCCAACCAAAGTGCCAAGGGGGCGTTGGTCTCCGCCCGACTAGACAAGCTAACCTAGCAATGCTGGCGAAGGGTGGATGGCGTCTCATCAACGAAAAAGATAACCTGTGGGGCCAGGTCATGCTATCCAAGTATGGAAGACAACGTGAGAACTTGGATATCCTGCGTCATACTCAGGGAAGTTCCTTTACCTGGAGCAGTTTTACGAAAGCTGCTGATCTCTTGAAGAAGGACAGTGCCTGGAACATTAAGAATGGGAAAAGCACTAAGTTCTGGTTTGATCCGTGGGTTTTGCAGGTTGCATTGAAGGACGTAGCTCTCAACCAGATCCCGGAGGAGTTGGAGCACGCGGTGGTGGGGGATTTCGTGACGAGCGATGGTAGCTGGCGCACGGACCTGTTTAGCGAGATTTTGCCTGTAGACATTGTCCAGAAGATCCTGAGTGTAGCTGTCGATACCCTCTCTACGGAAGAGGATACGCTCTTTTGGCATACCGCCCCCGACGGGAGATTCTCTACGAAGTCAGCCTACACGCTCATCAATCAGCACCAAGCGGACCCGAATGAAAAGCTGTGGAAGACAATTTGGCAGCTCCCTGTTCCGGAAAGGGTGCGAAGCTTCGTTTGGCTCGTCTGCCGGGGGAGGATCCCCACGAACTCCTTCCGCTTCTCCAGAAAGATCGCGCCGAACCCGTCTTGCCAGCGTTGTACAGGGGCTCCGGAGTCAATTCTGCATTTACTGAGAGATTGCCCGCCAGCTCTTTTTTTCTGGACTCGCCACGTCCCTAGCGCCAGGCAATTCTCTTTCTTCAGCACCGGCCAGGAAGATTGGCTCCGCTCCAATCTGCTGAGTACTGATTCTTTGGAATCTGGGGTAACGTGGGCAGCTTTCTTCAGCACCTCCATCTGGCTACTTTGGAAGAACCGGTGTACCTACTGTTTACAGGGACCGGGTGCTGCTCTTTCTCCGCCTTCCCTCGAGCACTCCATCATTACCAGGATTAAGCTTTGGCATGCCGCGTGGATAGCCCCTCCCTCCCTCCCCAGCAGCAGAACTCGCCCGGCGAACATGGTTATGGCTGATATAGGTTGGACCCCCCCAGCTGCAGGATGGTGCGCCCTCAATGTCGACGGCGCCTCGAATGGTAACCCGGGTCCAGCGGGTACGGGCGGTGTCCTCCGGGATTCGACGGGGCAATGGATTGCAGGTTACATGGCAAATATAGGGAGCACCACCGCCGCTCACGCCGAGCTTTGGGCTCTCATGTATGGACTGGATTTGGCTTGGAAACATGATTGTCGTGCTCTTCAGGTTCAGACGGACTCCCAGCTGGCTTTGCAACTCATCAATTCAAGACATGATCCGGTACACCCCTATGCCACTCTCCTTACAGCTATTCGCAGGAAAATTAGTCGTGATTGGTTGGTTCGCCTCACTCATACATATCGAGAAGGGAATAGAGTCGCGGACTGGCTCTCGAAGCACAGTCTCGTATACCCCTATGGTATGCATGAGTTGGGGCATCCACCTCCAGGTGTGGTTTCGATTCTTCGAGAGGATGTTATGGGAGTTACCCGCCCTCGTCGGGTGACAGCTCACTCTCCCCCCTCTGTTCCCTCCCCCATGTAATTGTGTCTTTTTCTCGGCCTCGGCCTCCCGCTAATGCAAAATAAACAAGTTAATAGAAGGAATATACACTATAGATCTTACTTGAATAAATGACATCACTAATTCACTATGGTTACACTAGAACTATCATACTTTATTTCATATATGGTAGAAGAACAAATAAGTATTGGAACCAAAAAAACATTAGAAGAAGCTATTTCTGAAACTGAATTAATTACCGATATAATAACTAGTCTAAATAAAATAAAAACTACTGAATAATTAAAACTCAGTTTTTGATAAGTAAATTAGAAAGACGTAAAAATCTCATTTCATAACATAAAATTATATTGGTTGAATCATGTCACTATCTCCTTCCATGAAGAATAAACAAAAAATGAATAAAGCAAAGTTACGTAAGAAAGACTATGAGTGTATATCAATTTTTGGGTATCAGATTCTTTGTTCATAATCTTTATGTAACATCATGAGTGTATTTCAATTTTTTGGTATCAAATTCTTTGGTCAGATTCTTGGTATTAGAGCCAACAAACCCAACCAAGTCAACCAACCCAAAAATAAAAAATATAGAATTAAATATTAAAATAGGAAATTACAAAAAAGTGCAACTTGATTCAGCCCAACGGGCTCAGTTACACTCCTAATATTTACCTCAATACCTGTTTGGAGGCTCTCTCTACAACCTGTCCACACGTAGCCAACACAATGGTTTAAATTAATTGTTTTATTTTATATATTTAAATATTGTTAAGAACTAACAGAAGTAGATAGAGTTGGAATCTTTATCTCTCTTTCTTCACAACTTTAACTTTTCTTCTCTTTTACTCACTTTCTTGCCTTTTTCATTTTTTGATAATTAACTCACATCCATGACTCACTTCACAATTCATAATAGAAATTATATCATAACAACAAACAAAGAAAATGCATATTAATAATAGAAAAAATACATAAATTGAAGAAACAAATAAATAAGCTAAGTAATCAAAAGAAAGATTCAATATGTTAGAAATGGAAATGCATATGCTGAATTTTTTTTCTAATTACTCAATTGGTGATACTTCAATCCCTTTTATACCATCCACAAAGGTTGGGTGGGAAAAATGGATGGGAAGGATGAGAAAAATGGGGTTTTGGGTTTGGGAGTTGGAAAACCCATAATGGGGGTGGGAAGGAAAAGTGAGAGAAGTGTTTTTTTATAAAATTAGTTTAGTGTTGATTTTGTCACTTTACTTAAATAATTTCATCAATTTTTTTATATAGTTATTAATAATTAATTAAGACAGATATTGTGATATATTTTTTTTTTAATTTGGACATAATTTTTCGTCATTAATTAATATGATATAATCAATGATGAAAAAGTCATAATTTTTCTAAAGATCATAACTTAAATATGAAGTAATTAATTAGAAAAAGCTACTGAAAAATATAATCGTGCAAAAATATGACGTTGAGATTTAATACTAATCGTAAAATGTCATCTACCGTTTAGAAAATACAAAAACTTAAAACAAAAGTAAAAAAAATAAGTCACAACACTCCTTCCTTTGTTGTTTTGTAACCCAAATTTCTTCCCTTCTTTTTTTTTTCTCCTTCCCCCTCTCAATTGTGAGTCTTCCCCTTCTTTTTTTCCCTTTTCCCCTCTTTTCCCCACCCCACTGTAGATGGACTTATGATTTTTAAAAAAATTGATATTAGGGTATTAACACATAATTTATAAGCATGATAGTAACACGAAATCTAATCAATAGGAACATTTTTGTTTTGATGATGTTTCATTATAATGAGTTTATCACAATTAAATAAGATTTATAAAGGGAGGGGACACTTGTCATTATTAAAAATGGGATCACACACGTGGTGTCTGCATTAATTTTAACAATAAAGAAAGCTTTGGTTATACAATTTTTTTAACAATATTTCAGACACTCAATTATTACATGTATTGCTTCTCATCCTAAAAACCGTAACTAACGGTTGACCAGACGGAAAGTTAACGGTTTGACTATTAAAATTTTTTTGAAAAGGTTTTGCTATTATTTTGTTTAAAAAGAAAGGTTTGACTATTAAATTATATTTATCCTAAAAGTCAATTATTTGACTAGGCCACATGTATATATATTAATTTTAATTAATTATTATTAAAAATAAAATAAAAAATTTCACAACCCTTATATCTTCTTCCCCAGTTCCCTTCCATCCCTCAACTCAAATCCATCACATGGAAACCAAACCCATTTCACAAATCCATCGTATCCCAGTGCTTGATTCATTCCACAACACTTGATTAGAGGAATCTTCAGTGGAGACGAAAACCATCAACGCCCGCCAGGATCTATCGATAATGGAGATCCATCACCCTTAGACTCCACAACCGCCGCCGACCCTGCCTTCCGAGATTGCTCGTACCTAAATCGATCACCACCACCACATCGCAATCCCCACTTGAGGAGCATTACAACATCGGTATAACCCGTAGCATCGCAACACCCTGCTCGATGTTTGGGATCCAAAGACGGCTAGAGAAGGCAACGAGGAGATGCAGACTCATCCTTGAAACCGGGTTGTCTATCTGTTTCCCATCCTCTCTTTTTATCAAACCCAAAAATAGACAATTTGTCTCCCTTCCCCTTATTCATCGATGAATAAAGCCTTGTCCGACTTCGGCGAATTAGGGATTATAGTTGTTCCTCAGATCTGTTCTTGTGGTTTGTTAGGTTGTATGGTCAGTTGAATTGAGGATTTTGTGGTTTGATCTGATTAGGAATTCATTGTCGAAATCCAACCCGTCGCTCGCAGGGAGAAGGTTTTGCTGCCAGGATTCGGCTCCGGCCTGGGATTGCACGACCGAGAAACGCTCGTGTTTTTTCAGGCGGGGATGAAGGCGGCGCTGTTGGATTTGGTTCCGTGGTGGAAGATGGCGTTGGGTCAATGTGATTATTTTATGTTGTCAATGTCGTTAATAGTTGATTACAGTCGCAAGCTGATAATTGTCGAACATATTGAGTTAGTGTGGTCATGAGATTATTTTATGATATGTTGGAGACATATAATGCTTGTTTTATAGCCAACTGGCCCTGGAATGGATATAAAACCATAACCACCATGTGTTGGAATCTTGATACGTTATAGGGGAAAGCAAGGAAAAATGAATGCAAATGCTCAATGGTAGAAAAGCACTCCAGGGCCCGACCCAACGCAAAACCAAACCAGTTTGGGTTATTCTTCAAATGATTTGGACCGGACATTGAAGGGAGAAGAGATCAACAACAAGATCAATTATTATTGAAGTAAAAACCCAACTCTTTTGTCTCTTGGTGGAGGATTGACTTGGACAGGGAACATTGCTTTTTGCGAAAGAATGGGCCAGAGGGAAGGATTTACTTGGGACGGGAGGAGGCTTTTCGGCGCACTATACATACTTGGACAGGAAAGAATTAAAGGAGGGATTAACTGGAGAATAATTGGACCGGACGAGAATTCTTTGGACGAAATAATTGGAGAGTCGCGCAGAACTTCGACGGGAGAACAGCGCGGAGCGGAGCAGCAGCGAGAATAGAGAAGGAAATATCTGGATTTTCTTCGAATAGTATCAATATATCTTTCTTCCTTTCTTAATAGGATGAAAATGAAAATATTTGGTGCTTTATTTTCGTTATGAACTAAACCCCAATTTATGGGAGAAACACCATAGGATGTAGCTATTTCCTGATTTGATGGATTGATTCATAGTTCTTTTCTTCCAATCTCTATTGCATGAAACTGTTTAATGTTTTGTGTTGACTGGCCACCAATACAATGATTTGTAGTTAATCAGGTTATTACCGACTGTGAAACCCTAATAACTGGACCAATTCATGTGACATAGTAACTTATTGAAGTGACAGTGGATTAAATAAGATGTTATGTGGTCTTGATTGGGATGTCTGTCTTAAGGCTAAATAATTCATTCATTACGCTACGACAGTAGGATTTGAATTGATTGTTTAGTGCGTAGTAATTCCCGACACTGAATAGCTAGCACAGTAGAGATATCCTGGTTGTAGAGAATTGGATTAAACTGATTGGAATATGTGAATTAATTTGGATATGATAGGTAGAGAGTCCCGGTGTTTCTCCCAGAGCTTCCTCCATTGAATTTCTCCCGACAGTTTTCATTTATTTTACTTTGTTTATTTTATTTTGCTTTTAGAAATTAGTCCCATTAAACTATTTTCACTTATAGTTTTCTCGTAAAATTGATAGAACTTAATGTTGTACCAGTCCCTGAGAGACGATACCCGGACTTTTCGGTTTACTACGAGATAGGATTAAGGCATATATGCTTTTGCCCTATCAAGTTTTTGAATCCGTTGTCGGGGACTGCCATACCTTATTTTTGTTAATTTTTGTGAGGTTTATCCTCTTCGTGCATGCCTAGGAGGACGACTAGGGATGACAATCAAACCCATGGCTGCTGGTACCCGACCGCCCCCGAATCAGTGAACGCGGGTAATCCCTGCTTTGACTGGATATGGGGCGGGTATGGGTAAAACCCGCAAAAAGTTTGATGGGTATGGGGCGGGTATGGTTTTGGCGTCCCCCGCCCCATACCCATACCCGCCCCACCAAGAGAATTTCTTCACATATAAAAAATATGTGGATTAAATTGTAATCTATCAATGGTGATGAGGATAACTCGAGGAAATAAATAGTAGAAATGCAATTGAGTGACCACTTTAATCAAAATCTAATTCATTTCACTCTTTCACTTTTCACCTTGTCAACAAGATTATGTTAGTTAACTATTACTTAGTAGATGTATCAGAATCAGAAGATAATAATTTGAAAAATATAATACTCTATATTATGTATTAATGGATGTTTTAGGATCATATACTTTGAACCGTATTAAGAAAATGATTGTGTTTTGTTGGCTTCATGATATTATAGGTTTGTTTAGAGTTATAATTAAAACTTTTCTTGTAAGTTTTAGATATAGTAATGTTGGATGTACGGGTACGGGTATTACCCATGGGTACCCGAAACCCACAGGTATGGGGATGGGTTTACAAAACATTCTCCCGCATGGGTATGGGGCGGGTATGAGTTGGAATATTTGAAGAAGGGGATGGGGATGGTTTAGACAAAACCCGCCCCACTACCATCCCTAAGGACGACGGACAATTTACTGCCACTAGATCCAGAGATAGAGAAGACCTGCCGACATAACAGGAAGTAGGTGAAGTTAGGGAAGCAGCCAACCACAACTCCTTGGCCTTCCCTAACCCATAATCGTCAATAGAGAGGGCATGCTTCATCACCTGTCATCCCTACACCACCAACACCACCACCGCGCGACATCGAGCCTGTCATCATGGCAGAAGATCATTCGATCAGGGCTCGCTTGAATTGAAGGAATGGAGCCCAAGCTTCATGTGTTGTCATTCCAGCCGGGGATGCAACCATGGAGATTACCCCAGCATTCATCAACATGATCACCAACGGATGTACTTTCTCCGGGGCTAGCAATGAGGATCCTCACGAACATCTTTGCCGGTTCGCGAGCATATGTGATATGATGAAGAGCCTAACTGTGGCTGATGATGCAATCAGTCTTCGGATGTTCTCATTTTCTCTGTTAGGTAATGCATCACAATGTTTCCAGAACTTAACACCCCGTTCCATCATGACATGGGCTCAGCTTGAGAAGACCTTTCTGGATAAGTACTTTCCACCTGCCAAGGCAATGAAGAGGCAAGAGGAAATTGTTACTTTCAAACAAGCTGATGATGAGAGTCTGACTGAGGCATGGGAGAGCTACAAGGGGTTGTTGATGAGATGCCCAAGTCATGGTCTTGAGGATTGGAACATGATCAATATTTTCTTCAATAGAATCCGAAGGGAGTTCCGCGATGCCTTGAATAATGCTTCTCAAAATGGTTTCACAAGCATGGAGGCACCAGTAGCGTATGATCTGGTAGAGACGATCTGTTCAGAAGCCACTGAATGGGGTAGCGTGACCAGTATTCGAAGAAGAGGCGGTCTAGAAGCCAAGATAGATGCCAAGCTGGATTCCAAGTTTGATGCACTCGAACGGAGGTTGGCCAAGATTGCTCTTGGTAGACAAGAGGAGGTTGCTTTATGTGAACTTTGAGAGGGTCCTCATAATAGGGATACGTGTCCACTAGGAGCTGCTCAGTTGGAAGATGTCTAGTAAATAATCCGCGAAGTCAAGGCCAGGGTGGTATGTATTCAAATACATATAAACCTCAATGGACACATCACCCAAACATGTCATGGTCGAATAATAATCCAGCTAGTGTCTGAAACATCCCACTTCTGATACAATCAAAGCAGCGTGGGGTCAAGTTTTTCAAACCAAACAGAACCGAATAGGATGGAAATCGATCGGACAGTACTCACCCGTGAATAAGGGCAATCGATATATGAATCGATCGGACAGACTCAACTCGGAATAAAGGGCAATCGATATGGGTAGCTCGCCACAACTAGGGTGACTACCTAGCTGATAAGAGTCGCTCTAGCACTCTAGAGATTCTCGATAGAGTAATTAGGGAAAATTCCACGTAGGGAACTCGGCAATAGCCTCTGAAATTCAATAATAATCGTCTAAGGGCAAACCAACTTGTTCAGCCCTTTAAATAGGCAAAGTACAACCCAAATCCGACTCCAACATGGAAAAACAATCATAAACCGACTTTAAAACAAGGTAACTCGGAAACAGCCCAGCAAACCCGTTAAGCCCAAACCGTTAAGCATGGACCCATTAGCCCAAACCGTTAAGCCTAGACCCGTTAAGTAAACCCGTTAAGCAAACCCGTTAAGGCTGCTTCTTGCAATCTGCCTTCTCTTCAGCAGCACTTCCTCCTTCTTCCTCTACTCGAATCATCATATATGGTTTCCCTCGAAATAGCTCTACGTCCATGGCTCCAAAGTAGCTCTCCAAATATGTCGCGAGCTTCTGCTTCAACGTCCTTGCCTTAGCACGTGTGACTAGCCCATTGATGTCCTCATCAGCCCCTCCATCTTCAAAAGGATTTTCCCTCAAATCCGAATTGCCATCCAAATAAGGTGCAAGGTCAGAAACATTAAACGTTGTACTTACTCCATACTTCCCGGTAAGTCGATCTTGTAGGCGTTGCTTCCAATCTTCGAAACCACCTGGAAAGGACCATCACATCGGGGCATCAACTTTGATTTCCTCTACTGGGGAAACCTCTCCTTCCTCAAATGCACCCACACCCAGTCGCCAACTTCAAAATGCCTCGGTTTCTTGTTTTTGTTCACATTGTGCATGATCTGCTCCGTCCTTCTCTCAATGTTCAATCTCGCCTTCTCATGTAAACTCTTCACGAACTCAGCTTTCTTGGCTCCATCGAGATTGACCTGCTCATTCAAAGGTGATGGCATCAAATCCAAAGGAGTGAGTGGATTGAAACCATACATGAGCTCAAACGGAATGAACTTCTTCGTCGAGTGCACAATCCTATTATAAGCAAACTCCACGTGGGGAAGGCAGTCCTCCCAAACCTTGATGTTGCTCCTAATCACAGCTCGCAGCATCTGGGACACAGTTCAATTGACAACCTCTGTTTGCCCATCGGTTTGAGGATTACATGTGGTAGAGAATAGCAGCTTTGTCCCCAGTTTGCTCCACAACGTCTTCCAAAAGGAACTCAAAAAATTAGTATCTCGATCGGATACTATAGAACGCAGCATCCCATGTAATCGCACCACTTCCCTAAAAAACAAATCAGCCACGTTAATAGGATCATCTGTCTTATGACACGAGATAAAGTGTGCCATCTTCGAGAATCGATCCACCATCAAAAAAATCGAATCTCTTCCCTTACTTGTCCGCGGCAAACCAAGCACAAAGTCCATAGAAATATCGATCCATGGAGCATATGGAATCGGCAGTGGTGTGTACAAATGATTGCACCTTCGACTTGGCCTGCTTGCACTCCACACACCTCGCACACAGATTCTCCAGTTCTTCCTTCATGTGCGGCCAATAGAAGTGCTCTTGTAGACAACTCAGCGTCTTGCCTACACCGAAATGTGCCATTAAGCCGACTCTATGAGCCTCTTTCAACAGCAACTCTCGAAGTGATGATCGAGGAATACACAACTGGTTAGCTCGAAACAAGTAGCCATCACTTCTATAGATCTCCCCAAAGTCAGCATCATCAGAATATAGCTCCTTGATATGCTCGAAACCCAAATACTTCACCCCCATTGTCGTGATCAACAAATGCCTTCGAGATAGGGCATCAGCAACTACGTTCTCCTTGCCCTGCTTGTACTTGATCACGTACGGAAAGGATTCAATAAACTCAACCCATCGAGCATGTCTCTTATTCAGCTTGTGTTGAGCCTTCAAATACTTCAACAACTCATGATCAGTGTGAATCACGAACTCCTTCGGCCAAAGATAGTGCTGCCACGTCTCTAAGGCTCGAACTAGAGCATAAAGCTCCTTGTCGTACGTCGGATAGTTGAGGGCAGCCCCACTCAACTTCTCGCTGAAGTAAGCAATCGGCTTCTTCTCCTGCATCAACACTGCTCCAA